GAGAGAGAGAGAGAAAGAGTATACCGGTGAATTCAGCAAAGGGACATAAAAGCCACATGACGCGCTCTGTATAATGAGAGTTTGCCGGAGAGAAAAGGATCATCACCACGAGCATCGGAGCTACAAAATGATCGATGTTTTATTCCCATCTCACAAATTGATTTACACAAAACCGTTCAATGATTTTTCGCTTATTTATTACGAATTTTTACCTCTATGCAAGTTCTTCTCTAATATTGAATTATCCGCCAGAAGAGAAATGGAAACGGAAAGTGCAAGGATAAGGCACGATTTGAATTCGATTCACGGAAATATAGGAAGGGAAGAGATTGGAGAACATTTAATTCGCGTGTAAAAAAAGAAGAAAAAAAAAAAATGAAAAAAAAATCACTTTCACTTGTTGAATCGATTCTTCTCTTCATCGTGCTACCTCCTATTATCCCCTTGTGTCCTCTTTATAACGTACCGATTCTCTCCTGAGTGAACCGATTGCTCTGTTTTGCTCCGCTCTTTTTCTACATCGTTATTCCTCATCTTTCATAAATATCCACGTTCAAATGTTAATAAGAAGGGCGCTGCATATAAATGAAAATTATCGCGATACAATAACGTTTTTCAACGTGCTGTTTCCAGCACGCAAAACCTAAGTGCAAGTATGTAGAAGATGTGAGCGCGCATTGTTCCAATTAAAGCGAGGCGACTCGATTACATATTTAATTTCATACACGTGTATGTAGATACACCGAAACATCTTCCAGCCAAGATTCTAGATTGTAGATTATTAGAAACTTCGATCGATATAAATTAAGGAAACGAAACTTCGTATCGCGTAACGTTTCGTTCGAAAGGAAAACGAGAAAAATAAGAAAACGAGATTGGTGTTCAACTCGAATTGAATTTCTCTCCAACGAGAGCGAAAACAAGCTGGGAGTAAAATTTTAAAAACGGGGAAAAATTAATTCGCAAAAATTAACACGATGTTAATTTAGAAGTAAAATTTTTCATCTGCTCCCAACTTGGATAAATTTGTTTGTGTTAAAAAACATTCTGTCGTTCTGCCGAGGAGAACAAAATTGATGATAAAATGACCTCGAAGCCTTTGAGATTCAGCAGCGCGGAACACACACACACACGTATACATATTACTTTTTTCATGGAAATTTTACACGTGCCAATTGTCGAGATAATTAAATCATTTCGTCGGATAATCAGTTCCGATAATCAACGCGGAGAATCGTAATTCTCGTATCGTTCGTGGCCGGGAAAAAAAACTGCTTATCGCAGTTTCGTGTTCTATCGAATCTATCGCTCGACTCGACTCGAACAAATCTCAATACGGGATAAAAGATAATTCGTCCGTACCACCTACCTTGGTATCGTTGTGAATAAGACGTAGGCGAAATTTGGAGAGGACGTTCATTCGGTTGACGCGTTCGACAGCCAATCTCGCCGCTTGTAGCTCGCTCGACCCTTCCGCCCTAGCCTCGTTGCCTCGCGTCATCTCGAACAGACCCAGGATGGTTACGTTTATCTTCTCGCCCGATTTCACGATCCCCTTATCTTCCTCGCTCTCTCGCGACTCGCCCGTATCCCTCGTCGCCTCCTCGATACCGGTCGATGGAAAAACGTGGGCGGAGGAAGAGGTGGTGGAAGAGACGCGTTTCTCGTCCGGGAATGATTTTCCTATGTTGGAGGATCGCCGGCCGGAAGACGCGCCTGGTAACCAGCTGTCGTCCTCCCCTCTCTCGTTCGCTTCCTCGATCGCCTCCTGCCTCCGCTCCTCCTCCGTGTTCTCGTCGACCTTGCGATGCCGATGAAGCACGTCCCTGCCAGGGCTCTTGGGAAGATCGGGGGACACGGTGGACGGATAGGGCGCGAGCGTCGTCTCCGAGCCGACCACCTCCATTTTCGGCGGCCCGAAGTGCCTTCTGTCGAACTTTTCCACTTGGATCGCCGTGGGCGGTTTGTACGTCACTTTTATAGGGAACTTCTGCGAGCCCTCGAACCCTGTGAAACGCTCCTCGACGCTCGATGACACGTTCCCGCTCGCTTCCGCCAACCAACCGCACTCTCCTCCCCGTTCCTCTTCCCTCCATTGTCCGCGATTCCGTCCGATCTGTTCCTCCTCGCGGACCTCCTCCTCGAGCCATCTCTCTCCCCGTATCGTCCTTCGTCGCATTTCCCCTCCCTCCTTCCAAAATTCCTCCCCAACACCCTCGCCGCTGAATTGTCGCGAGGATGATCCAAATCCGCCCCCCACCCTCCATCGATCGTTCGAGCCGTGGTCGCATCGTTGCCCCCCCTCCTTCGAAACTTTTGCCTCTCGTGTCGGGCGCGAAAATCCTCGACACCCAACCGACGCTTTCTCCACCCGCGCTCCTCCCACGATCCCACGGAGGAGATCTTCTCGCTCGTATCCATCCGTTCTCGGCCGTGCGAATCTCTTCGGGGATATTTCCTATCCCCGGTGTCGAGGAGGCGAGGGAACAACGCGGAAACGTCGTCATGGTTTTCGTCGCACGGCGCGAACGCGCCACGAACCGACAGCAAGCCGAGAAGGAGGAGGAGGAGGAGGAGGAGGAGGAGGGGGAGGGTGTCGGAGGATGAGAACGATGGCAGGAGGAGACGAGAGAAGTGGCGACGCGTGCGGACGCGCGTCATAATCAGTCGCCGTCGACGTCGGTGGTTCGACGACTCGATGCGTCTCGCCGGCTTCTTCTCATCTGAAAATCCAATATACATCTCGATAGAGCGACGACGACGAAAGGGATTACATTTCTTCTTTTTCCATATTTTCGATCCATTCGTTGCCACGAATCTCCAACGTCGATCTCCTATCCATCGAGCGAGAATAATCTAGCAATTCGTACGTACGACGAGGATAAATCGCGTGTTGCTCGATTTTCACGAATAGGAAAGAAGCGTGCACGCGACGTCCAATCGACGTCCAACGTCGCAGAAACGGGGACACAATTGCACGGGTTGTGTTAACGAGCTCTAACGAGTAGCCTTTTATCGCGGCAGCGTTAAAGAAGCTGCCGACCTTCCTCCGAATGAATTAAGCAAGCGTAAACGATGACAGCGATTAAACAATTGGGATTTAGTTTATTCGTCTCCCTTCGCGTTACGTAAGCTCGCGAGCCGACCTTGCCTCCGCTCGAGGCAAACCTCCCCTCCTTACGTAAAATTGACTTTCAAACTGTTAACGCTCGTTATCAACGTGCTCGAAACTGGTGGCTTTTCCAATTGCAAAACTGCAACCGATACGCGTGCATCGAGAATTTCGAATTTCTATGCGCGTGTATACACATATTACGTACGATTTCATAAGAAAATAGGAATAGGCGTCAAAACCTTTAAATATATACCGCGACTTGATCCAACTGATTCATCTCGGCGAATCGTAACTTATTATGGATCGAGAATGCCGATCGAACTTCTATGATTCGTAAACACCGTCTCGACTTAAAATTTCATAAGAGAATAGGTTTGCCCGTTAAATTCTTTAAATAATAGCGCGACTCGGACCAACTGTCGATTTAACTGTCGCGGTAGTTAAGCCGGATATCGACAGCTTGCTCGAATCGAGTATGAATCGACACTTTCCCGTGCAGGCCTGTCCTTTTATTTCGACCCTCGAGAATCGCGAGAATAGGGGATGGAGCAACACTCTCGCTCGATCGAGGAACGGATGCTTTGATGCGTGTAAGACACACCCCCTCGCGTGAATTTCGCTTCCCTTCTTCCTTCCTTTCATCCGTTCCGATGATCCGACACACGAAGGAAAGTGATCGCGTCGGCGTGGCACAGGAAGGCACTACCTTTATTACGATCTTTAACCGACCTCTCTCTGATCGCTTTATGATCAGTACGAATGGGAAAAGGGGAAAAAGAAGATGAGTAAACGAAACAACGCGAAAAAAGTTACGAGAGTCGGGGAGCTCATTTTCTTCGGGATTTGTAGGTGAAATAAATTTCTAAGGAAAAACTCGCGCGGTTGATGGATCGTACGATTGCTTTTCGCGCATCCGGAAAATATTCCGCTCCCTCGAGGGGCAGGATTCTACTACTTTCGAATTCTTCCACCTATTTTTATTTCCCTCGTATTCGATACACTTTCGCAACGATTTCGTAAAACGCGCGTGGGAAGTTGCGTTTACGTTTAACTCGGCATGCGTGTAACTCGTTTCTCTTCCCGAACGAAATAACGAACGTTCGCTTATCGAGAATGTCGCGAAACAATTTCGTCGTTATATCGGTAAAAAATTGCACGTCCGAGCACGATCGCGATCCGAACGAGAAAACGGCGAGAGAAAGGGGCGAACTTTACGCACGTTGAGAAGTGAAAAAGGCAATATCAGCTGCTGCGAAAAAATTATTTTTTCTCGAAACGTAGATCGTGGGATCTAAGCCGTAGGATGTTTTTCTTCGGGGTAAAATCCGTGTACGAATCGTTGTTATCGAGACGTCGCGCTTTTTCGATAATAAGAAAAAAAGGGGAAGGAAAGAAAGAAAGAAAGGAAAGGGAGTAATGTAGTAAGTAACACGGGATGAAATTGTAAAAGTTCGCTGGAGCTCGTTCGCTTTTTAGACCAAAGCCGTATTATCGATCGCATTCTTTTTTTTTTTTTTTTCTTGTCGTAAAACGAGAATTTCGCTCCGTAATATCAAAGTAGTGGCTTTTCCATAACTTTTCGTAAGCGTTGTCGAGCTATGACCAAACTTGTGATCCGTCTCGGATTACGAAGATTCACGAATCAAGAGCGCAACAACAAACGATTTCGTCGTTAAATCGTTTCGCTCGTCGTCGAACGAGTTACGAGATAAACTGTTTAAAGGCGAGTTCTCGCGGAGTGGCTCTAATCGCGCTCTCTTCGTTTATATAACTCGAATTAAAGAAAGTTTTCAGGGACGGATTAAATCCTTGTTCTCTGTGTGAACGCGTGATAGGTGACAGGGAACAAACGAATTCGACGAACCAGTCCTTGACAATTTTCTTTACCGACCACGAGGAGGAGAAGTTTGCGATTTCCGACTCGTATCCAATCGATTGAATTTATTAGAATTAATGGCAAGACGCGAAAGAAAGGTCGGCGCGGTCTTAAAAGCTTCGCTTCCTCCAGTTCCTCCTACTCGGCCCGTTTATTTTTCCTTTTTTTTTTTCTCATCAAGCTTTCGCAATCAGTTTTTAGAATGGTTGTTAGAATGTGATTAAAGGGGAAAAAAGAAGGAAAAGAAGAAGAAAAGGAAATTAAGATGGTAAAATCCCCAAGATGAAAATCACGTTTCATCGTCGATGGAAAAAAAAGAATACGATGGATTTTAAAAAATGACGTTAATCGAAAGTATTAAGAATACTCGTTGCGTAAAGTTTTTTCTCCCGCGTAATACCAAAGAATCTTTCCGAATCTTTCCATAAATATATATACACGAAAGTTACGTAGAGGAAATAGATTGCAAACCCGGGATATTTTCTTAAGGTGATAAACGAGAAAATACGTCCGAATGGAGGAACTCTCGCAAACCGATATCGAAACCGGGTTATACTTTTTTTTCTCGTCGGTTATTTTTATTATTATTTTCATTTTTATGTTTTTTTTTTTTTTTTATTAGGAATTTAATATTAATAAAAGAGAAAAGTAGCGGTAACCAAAGGTTCTCGATATGCGTAAAAAACGATCGTTGAAAGTTTGGATGGTTTTTTTTTTTTACGATATTTCAGGTCGGAATATATTCAGGGACAAAGACGTGTACGAATTACCATAAAATCGTGTAATATCGCCCGAAACGTCGCATTTTTCTTCAACAAAATCGCAGAGAAGCGGATGATCCCCTCGAATATTGCGTTTTTTCTTTTCAATCGAATTTTCTTCTCTCCGATAAACGTGTCACCATCGAACCGATAATTGATAAAACTAATAATCGTTCCACAGTTTTTGTACAAACACCGATATTCCTTTTCCCATCGACTCTTAATCGATCCTCGTATCGACGTTTCTCGATACCATCCGCCCCTAAAATTAATTCCTACTCGATCGTCCTTTGAAAAAAAAAAAGATATCTCCTTTTCCTTTTATCTTATCGAACTCGTGCAGCCAATTTCTGCGTTCCACCGCACTGGAAAAACAGCGCGACACGATGATTATCGAATAATTCGGTCAATTCGGTTGATCGATCGATCGCAATAATAATGTTCCGCGGAATAAAGAAACGAGGGAAGAAACGGAAGGTTCGGATCGGCGAAAGAGTCGGGGTGCAACGCGCGAAAGTAAATAGAATGGAGATAAAGTGGCGTGAGAAAGATGTCTGGAAGAACCGTGGATAATAAACGCGGAAAGGTACGACGGAGCAACCGCGTCGCGTGGTGGCGGTTCGCGCACTGTTGGCTCCGTGGAATTCTACGTGGCTTGTCTCCTACGGGAGTTCTCGCGACGCGGCCTCCCTCCGTTAACGCGCAGACTCTCGTTCCTCTTGCATTTTCCCTTCAACCGAAAACCTATCGTTCCAACCGCTATTTATCCCCTCGTCCATTCCGTTTTCCGAATTTCCTTTTACGAATTTACTCGTTTCGATCGACCCCCTTTTTGTTTCTCCTCCACCTTTCAATGTTTCGTTAAAAATAAGATAGGTGAACAAGGAGAAAGTCGAGATCGCGACGAGTTGAAATTTTTCGTTTTTTTTTTCCGCCAAACTTTGCGTTCCCAACTTTGTTCCGTTGGGAAAACGCGAGCAAAAGGTTGCACGCCCTTCCTTTCACGCCTAACCTTCAAAATTTCCCGATAAAGATCAATCGATGTTTTATCGTTTTATCGACCGAGTTATATGCAAACGCGTTCCTCCGTCCAGAAATCGACCTCGTCTCGAGAAGCAACGATGAAAAATTTCTAAATACCCGTTCGATTTCGTTAATTGTTGCATCGACGTGTATTCGTGTAGCGTCAATTGCCTGCGAGGAAAGTGGTATTCTCCATCAAATTGGAGAATAATTTCTAATAGTCGAGAATAACTTGATTCTTTTGCCGCCGTAAAATATATCATACTCGGATTTACTTCGATTTCAAATTTCATCCGATATACGATATTGGAACGATGAACAAATTTCCATCTCGGACGTTAATATTGCCGTTTACCGTCCCGTTTAGGCTGCCGGTAAATCCA